GTTTTTAACCATTACTATGTGAATGCAAATTACAACAACTTAAGAAATAAAAATACTTCAATGCAGAGCACCTTTCATTGAGAAAGAATGATGCCATTACCTAGGAATAATTAAATCTATTTTTTCCCCTTTTGGAGCATAACTGAAATAGGATGTTTGTTTACTTTCCCTGTACTCCCAACTACTAAGGAAGATGACATACTTTCTGACCAATCCAGTGATGACATGCAAAAGGTACACTGTTTCGGTATATGACTGTGACCCAGCTAGCTTTTAATTTTGTTGGAGCTTTTTAAGAACATCTGTTGTTGCATTTGGACTTCAAGTTTTGGTCTGTCCTGTCGTTCATAGAAGGCTCTGTAACTAGAGAACTAATTGGCTTCAGACCTACTAATACTCAGAAATGAACTTGTTTATTTTGGTAGGACTGTTTAAAACTTGGACATCTCCTGCATCCAAAGACTTGAGAAAACACTTGAGAAGAAAAACTTGCTCTAAAATAGTTGCCAACATATTTTAAGAGTTTCTATTCTAGATTTCCACATTCCCAGCAAGACTCTCGTAAAATCAGAGAAAACAGAGCTATAATGTAATTTTGAATTTAAATGGAAAATCCATTTGTAAAGGAACTTTAAGATCTTTTGTTTAATACTAATGGGGAGAAGGGCTGTCTCTTATACACATCTGCGCCGGCCCAGGCCCGACGTAGGAAGAAAGCGTTTACGGCCACATTCTGCACAAATAAAGCAATAGTGAAACTGTTTCTGATCTGGTGTTCGTTTATTTATAGGTCGACTGATACTAGCGGTAATTTTTATGCGGTGGTTTTAGTGCTATTAGTAGTATTTGAGCCGGGATTTCTGCCTTCTGAGCAATACTGACAAAATCTTGATTCAGCATTATGACTGTGCACTTTTCTTCCGGAATAAGGAATTATTAAGAACATAGCAAAACGGTAGTTCTCTATATTCAACACATTTCTCCAGGCAGAGAACGACTTTGGATCTATCTAGCCCAGACCTCCTTCGAGCATAACTCGGCAGGTAAGCAACAAACAAAATGTTGGCAATACTTCAAAACCAAAGGGATTTGTAGAGATGATACTTTTCCAGCATATATTAATCTGTGAAGATTATATTGGCTCATAATAAAAGTAAAATTCAGGCTAGGCCTGGTCTTCCACCCCACATCAATGTGGGAGAGGGCTCAGGAGAAATGGGTCCTTCACCATCATTTTCCCTGTCTCCTTGGGACTGCAGCTGGCTATACCATAGCTGTTCAGAGGAGATCACTAGGTGGGGAGATCTCCGAGACCTGTGGTTCACCTATACCTTCAGCCTCTAGCATTTTAAAAATATTGAGGCTTCAGATGTCGATCGGAGCTGCTTCTTATATCTGCCAGTGATCCTTAGCAAGAGGCGATGTCTGTGCCACCACCTGGGCTTGTGATTTGGAGGGGAGAGAGGGAACTTCAGGAAACAAAGATGAAGCTCAGGTGAGGGTCAGGGGCAAACCATCCTGTGATTTTGTGAAAGATGCTGGCTCTGTTTTCTTACTCAGGATCTACTGCAATTAATATTAGCTAAAAATGTTAGTATCTTCCTAAGAAAAAGCATAGACAGCAGAGCAAAAGCCAATGACTGCCCTAAACACCTTATTTTAGACCACATGAAGGCAAAATTTGAATGCCTCTAAGTACCTGGGGGTCTGAAACACTGAAGGGAAGCACATCCAAAGCGGTGGGTCCAATGTAAGAGTTAAGTCACCTGAGCTGGGACATTTACAGTCCATGCTTCAGATTGGGAGAAAATCCAGTGGAAAAGGCAGAACTCCCTGAGCAAGGATCTCCCGGGGGAAAACAGGCCTGGGATCTGCAGTTTGCAGTAAGGTGTCGTAACTGCGGCTGTGCTAGCTCAGGAGGTTACTGCTACTCTGTGCTCATCACTGCTCTGTTAGAAGCTGCTAAGGATTAGCTGGAGCTGTTCATAGGCAAAAAAGCCTACCATTAAAAGTGATTAACTGATTATCTTCTTCCCTGAAATGAAGTAGGAAGCCAGGCCAGTAGATCTGAGTAGGCATGACAGGTAATGAGTGGCAGTAACCTCTTCAACAGTACAAGTACAGCCAGAAGATGACACAGAACTACACCTTAAGTGGCAAATGGCCTGCAGAATCCTTCTTGTATGTTTTTGTGTTAGTTAGGACTATACCACAACTGTATCGTCAGCTTCAGGCATGCCCTATCCATGCTGTGACAGTACATTAAAAGGAAAAATTACAGAAACCTCAGTTCAGATGCTACGTGACCCCCTTGTATTACTCACTGGGAGAGAGGCAGCATGGCCTCCAGCCTAAGGACGTGAGATGCCGGCAGAGATGGGCCTCCAAGTCTTTTCAGCCTTCCTGTATGACTTCAGCAAAGCATGTCCTTGTGCCTCAATTTCTCAATCTGTAAAAGGGGAGCAGTTTTTAATCACCAAATAAGGCTGCTGGGAAGTTTAATTAATTACTGTGGGTAAAGAAGGTTACGTCCTTTGAAGGCAGGTGTTAAACAAAAGCAAAGATTTATTACTAAAGGAACATGATAGGTCCATTTGAACTTTGTTTGGGAGACTGCAGTATTTATCGATTAGTAGTTTCTGGCAGGGGGAGAAATTGCACAGATGACCTCAGGGAAGTAAACTACAGGAAGGTGTGTGTGAAGGCATTCATGCTCTTGCTAACGTTATTGTAAATCTTGATCCTTTAATAAAGCTGTGACCTTGGAGTTGACAACTAGTATGCCACGGAGCAATATACAGCATGGCAGCAGCCTTGTAAATCTTACGTAGTTTTTGCCATTGACATAGACAACATGTAAAGAGAAATCAGGCAGCTGAAGTTTATGAAACAGATTTATTTTAAAGGAAAGCATTTTAAATCAGACTTTTTAGATGAAATGAAACTAATGGCCCTGCCAACTTTTTATTCCTCATGATAAAAAGTGTTTGTGAAATGAAATCTCAACAGTGAAAAGTTGTAGAACTGCTCATAAAATTTTGCTGTTTGCAGGGGGCAACTGCCACTGAAGGGGTACATTTTAGATCACTTTTGCACAGCTGTTGTACAACTTTTGACAACTACTTTTTGTACGACTATTATTTTTGTTGCTTTCTTGACAATGCTACTGCAAGAACAGCACATCTCCTTGCCAATGTGAAAAGGGCAGGGAATTGTTCTGTGGGAGCAATCAAAGATGGATGTGAGCAGAAGGGGAACGGGAGAAGGCTGTGTAACTGCAGGGGGATCAGAAGGTGCCACATGCAAAGGGAAGGACAGCTTTTCCTCTCTCCAGGTGTATCTGTATCGCTACCAACAAAGAACACTTGCAGCCATAGACAAAACTAAGGACAACACTCCTATTGTGGTAGCTTATTTCATACATATAAAAAGTTCTGTATACATTTTTAAAATGTGCAGGTAGCCATAAATCCGGCAACTTTTTCCCAATATTTTTGGCTACTTTGCTCTGGCATACCAGATATTTTTTTTTTTTTGTTACTCACATGTTACCACAAATTCCACCCCTTGGAGCAGCACTGTCCATCTTTCTGACTGAGGAGTTTTCATTCCCAAGGACAGTTCTCAAAGAGGAAGGAAAGCAACTTTCCCAGGCACATGAAACAATGAATATTTCTCTTCCCTAAAAGCCACTTTCTGATTCCAAGAAAAAACAGTAAAGACCTAAAGTCTATTGGAAACTTCCTTGTTAACATGTTAAAACTACTTTAATCACTGTACATGTTTCTATGCATGATCATTAATTTCAATTCCTTAACAGATCCACTGCATCTTTGAAAGATACTATCTTATACTATACAGGTAAAAAACCATTTTTTTAACATTACATAAGTAAGAATGCAAGTTAGTTAGAAGATGTTGTAAATCTCTTGAACAGATTTCTATTTTTTTATTATAAACATAATATTCACTACTTGCTATCCTTTCAGGATGGCTTTCACTTACCCACATTGCTAATTCTGAGCCATATCTTTCACTGTAAATAGAAGCATATGCAGTCTTATGGGGTCAGTAATACTGTCTTTGACAGTGGGTAGTATGCTTGATACTGTTTTGAGGGGGTATGGTTCTTCCAGTTTGTTTGGTCCTTGGCAGCTGAAAAGCTTGTTGTTTGTCACTGAGTTCAGTACCACTGTATATTAGGTAGAGAAATTGACAATATTTTCTTTTATTCTTACAAAAGATAAACAACATTTTTAAAAAATTAAACTGAAATTTATTTTTAAAAATAATTTAAAACAAAAACAATGCTCAAGAAAGAAAACCACACCATTTTTTTGGTCCATGCAGGTTACTAACACTCCGTTAATTGCAAAAGGCTTAATTTTAATGACTGTGTTCATCTACAGAACATGTTCTTCCACTCTTTTGCAGTAGTCTTTACATGCTGTTTGGATGACTCACATGCACATAGTCTAAGAACAACCCATCCAGAACTCTTTGAACAAGAACTTTTCCAACAGTGTTTATGTCCTGAAAGAAAATATTTTATTGACTTTCAAGATAGTAATTAATGTGTTAATAGATTTAATTTTGACTGTTTGGGTTACTAGTTAACAAAATACTGGTTTCAGTGGGTTTACATCCATGTTTAAAGTTTAGTGCCTAACTTTCTACTCTTTAGTGGTAAACACTGTGACATAAAGCAAGAGAAATCATTATGAAACTTGAAATAAATGAGAATGTCAAATGCAGAAACAAATCCAGTGATTATGCAAAACCCAACAATGCTAATGCTATTTATTAGAGTCCAGTTTGGTGATGTATGTGGTACTGTGTATAGAAATAGTCAAGTCTTAGCTATACTTTATGAAGCTGTATATGTGTGAGCTATCATTAAAATGCTATCATACATAGGTCTATTCCTGCTATGTGCATGCATTATAGGTTCAAATTATTAAGATGGTTCTTCACTCCTGCCCTCCATTTGGATGTAATTTTCTTTAGTGCTTTTGCCTCATTAAAAAAAAAAAAAAATCTTTCTTTTTTTTCTGGATGAGTATTAAACATAAATATAGGAAAGCATTAACTGATATTCTTGAGAAATTCAAATAGCATGTGTTGTGCTGCATTTTTTATTTCACAGCCCACTCAGACAGCAAACAGCTGCAGCACCTTTCAGAAGTACAACTGTGTCATATTAGGTTCTTATAGAATAAAAATGGCTTGTGGAAACAACTTTCATTTAAAGTACATAGGTTTACATTTGAGGATCTCCAGGTCATTTATAAACATGAGTCAGATGCCTAATACCTGTTAAGAAATGAGGTAACAGAGTGGCTTTCCCTTGTCCCACCATTAGACAACAACAGAACTGAGGACAGAATCCGTAAATTGGCACCTTTGAGTACCAGACTATGCTGCTTCTGTACACACCTGCCACACTTCCTGACTTTGTGGTGCAGTTCTTTGCTCAGTTCTTCTCATGAATTCTTGATTATAAAAAGTGTAAAAGAAGACACACATAAAGAAATCAAGTCCAGTGGTTTGCAAATACCATTATTCACTATGTAGTCTTCATAATGGAGTGTAAGTCCAAGTTGAAGAAGGCTTATAAAATTTCTGCTGAAATAGCTCGGATCTCTCCCAGGTGTTAATCAACAAATTGGACAACACTGTAAATAAATGGAAGGGAGTATTCAGTTTTCATCTTGGAGGTCTTACAGAAGAAATATTATCAGTGTTTAAAAAAACCCAGACATGTGAAATAAGTGTATCTGTTATGGTCAAATGGCATCTTGGAGCAAGACAAATACTGCTAGGTACAGTGCACTTTCAGATCAACTGTCAATTATGCTAATCCCTACTGTGTAATTCATGTCTGCAGACATCCCAAGGACTGTCAACCTATCTAGATCTGATGATTAATATATTCCCTTCTACTAGTTACAAGAGAACAGTGATGCAAAAGCATTTGTTTCATCCAATACGAAATTTGTTTATCATCCAAACAACTTGTGTATCCATTTGTTTAACATTCAAACAAATTAATAACAAATAATCCATTTGTTTACCATCCAAGCCACTGTTTGGAAGATAAAGTGCTACAAGAAACATACAGGCTTTCTCTGGTCATCAATAACAAATTAATTCATCTGTGTGCCTACAACAGAAGTGCTTAAAACACTTCATCAAAAGAAAAACTGAATTACTTGCTGTGGGTTCTCTGTAATATAAAAGTTGAAGTTGCTGCAACATTTATTTCTTCAAGCAGTATGATGAGAACACTGTGTGTATGCTAAAAAGATGATTATCATGGAATATACCATGTGTGAATATACTACGTGTAGACTAAAACCAGCTTTATGACATGTTATGGTAATAAGCATTATGATACAACACACCGAAAAGTCCTATGCCTTTCTTAGAACTAAAAGTCTGACATAGTTTATCCTAAGTTTGAAATAAAAAGTTTGAAACAGCTGTGCTGAATCACTTTTTCAGGTACTTCTGAAATAGTTACTCCAAAAGGGTTTCAGAATTAAAGGGAAGGGTCAGTGTGTCAGTAGAAACAATGAAGTGCACTGCTCAGCCTGCTCCTTCTCTACTTTGTATTAATGATATGGTGTCTACAGTTTATAAACCAACTAAAGCCACTATGAAACCAGTAAGACTTTAAAGATCACACTTTCAATTTCTCTGCTTATAATTTTTACATTATTTGTAGGCAAACACAGTTCTGAGTATTGTTTTTTACATTAGGTTTCAAAGAAATGTGCAACAGAGGCTGTATAATGCATATTACTCAAGAGTCTCTCAGGATCAGCTTGTATATGCAAACTGAACAAAAGATTTAACAATTTTCTAAATTTTAAGGCTTAATTCTGCCCTACAGCTATACAATTGCTATTTATGAATTTGCTCTGAGTGAAAAAAATAAGAGCTTATAGACTGATAGGTGTGACAAAAATTATTGACAATTATTTCAGCTGACCAAAGTAAATACAGAACATAATCTGAAAAATACAAAATTTGGCAAAGTGTTATACATTAAAGCATTACACTCTCGAATGAATGCTTCCATTAATTTATTTGGAGCTCTGGCTCCATGATAACTTACAAATATGACCATTGTTAAAGTGGTGAAAACTAACCTGCACTGTAAAAGGGAATGGAGAGGGTTTCCCCCATCCCACCCTCTGCGGGAAACCTGAGTGTTGATCAGTTTGTCTATAAGTCCTTCAGTCTGTAACCTCCCTAAAACATTTTCTGTGAGATGTGAGAATCAGAGTCTAAGATGCGTCAGCAAATAACAATCAGGAAAGTAAATTATGCTTGTTAAGATATGAGTCTACATCCTATGGACCCCAGTCCTACAAACAGGGTCACAGTAAGACCTCACAGCCTCTGTGGATCTTCTGAGTGAAGCCATTCATGTGAAGTTATCTTAACTTTAAAAAAAAAAAAATTACCACCCCCCACACACTATGACAGACTCCTATATAAGGCCCGCTAAGTAGTTCTCAAATTATAACCTCAAAACCCAGATGAGAATACAAAGCAAGTGCTGCATATAAATCTGAGTTAGGGCAGTAGAAATAACACATGCAGGATTTAAAAGCAGGCAAGTCACTGAACCTAATGATTGTTGTCTTGGCTGTAAGTAACTGTTTGTTGTTTCCATCTTAAGACTTCCTACTCCATTTTTAGTGCTCCTACCAGCACTCACAATGATAGGAGTGCTAATATTTTAAATACTGTGTGCATACATGCTTGTCTGTGAGAGATGGGGATAGGGAATGAATATAGGTATGTTTTTCCTTCACTGTCAAAACCTTTGTCTATTATCTCCCATCGGTAATGCTTGCTAGAATTAATCAGTCTAACATGTGAATTCAGTAAAATATATACTTATGTATATTATCACTGCTCTCCTTTCCAATCTGTGGCAAGTGAGAGAGTAGTCCATTAGCTCATCTTCATCTTCACACTGGCAATAAGAACAGGAGTATTGGGGCATATGAGATAGTATATTGGTAGTGGATGCAGATAAAGTAATACATTTTTTGTTCTACAAGCAATAAAAGAAGTATTTAGATTTATTTGGCCAGACACCATTAGGAGCTTCTTCTGACATAACTAAAATGCAGCATGGGTGTATGACATGTACCTGGGTGTGATGTGTGCTATGCTGGCAAAAGGTCAGCCTTGCTAATGGATGCTGCAAGCACTGCACAGAACTGTGCCAGCATGTCAGGATATTGATCCAGAAAAGCACTCAACATAACCATGACCTTAGAGAAGCACAGATTAAAATATTGAACACTACATCTATAGACATTTGATTAAAGTGCCATTTAATTGCTGTGATACACTTGGAGCCTGCGTGACCAAACTACCAATCCTCAGGAGTCCTCACTGAGTATCGATACTTTCTCGCAGAGGATTCCTACTTAGTTTTTAGTACAGAGTATGGTTTTGTTCCATGGTGGAGACACTGCTTTCAGCTTAGTGCAATTTTCAAATGTCTATGGATAAATGTTCAAGTTTTTCTGAGCATCGGAAGAATAATGACTGATAAGGAGATCAGTCTTCTGAGCAAGCAACCTGAATAATGTATCATTTAGGAATATCAAATAACAAAGAGTATAGGGACTTTAAATTAAATAAATAAAAAGGCATTTTAATAATGATATGAAAATTGCTCCTAATCAATAATGGACAAAACTAAAGGCCACTGAACTTCAATACCTCAGTCATTCTAGAATTGCTACACACCTAATCAATTGCTCTAATAGGTCTTGCTCTGAAAGAGAATGAAAGGGACAAAGACTTTGAACTTTTGACATACAACACACATATATTATGTAAATATATATTCTCTGTCTATACTGTAAATATATAAATAAGAAAAGCTGTCAGTCTTCTTGATTCAAAACTATTTATAAACAATGAATTAATTGAAGAGAGCCAATTACATTTAGACTATTATTAGTCTTACTCATTCTGGAAATAACCAACATTTTCAAGGAGTTTTATTTAAACGTAAACATAATTCTCTCCCAAGAAAAATAGCAAAAACTGCTGACTTGTCAAAATACAGTTGTTTCTACAAAACAGGTCACATGGAGCGAATTCTATCAAAATCATACTAACTGCAAGTAAAATGTATTATTTAGTAGTCATACACACACAAAAAAAATTAGCATCCATTTTAAGTACTATTTGAGTATTACGATTTTTAAAATATTACTAAAGGGTTCATGTTGAATTCTATGCAACAGAAACAAGTTCCAATTTAAAAATTCAGACAATTCCTCTACCAGTTTGACTTTATTATTTTGGGATAACAAACTCAAAAGTACTTTTACAGCGTCACCAACACCGAAATCTACCTTGTTACAGCATTCCCAAGCTCCTGTACAGGTCCATATTTTTCCATATATTTTTCACAAGTTCTTAAATGACCTCTCATTTCACTCAGACATACCTTAAGCAATGAGAAGCAGCAGCCTGTTATGTTTCATACCATGACACATTCACACTAATACATCACTCTGAATATTTTCTAGTTCAGAGCCTTACTACAACATTGTGTCTATACCTAGGGAAGAATATGCATCTTCTCCTACTACTGGTTCAGTTCCCCAAGCATTTTGTTACAGGTTCAGTATTGGTCTAATAAATTTTTATAATAATAATAATAATATTCAGCTTATGATAGTAGTCAATTGAGTGAAATAATTATTGGTTTGTGATTAATTTACTTGTCCCTTACGTTGGTCCTCAATATTTTGGAATTAAATGTGGGAGGGAAAAGGGAAACATTTCTAGTCTGGGGAAGAGGTACACATCTTGCTCTGGTTTTAATAGTGAAAGTCTAGGCCAACTTGGTTAAAAACAAAAATACTCCAACATAAGGGTCCGATTCTGACCTTAGTGAAGTCATGAGCAAAACTTTTTTATAGATTCATTAGGGATAAGATCTGGGATTTATATTGCTGCTGCTACTAGCTGTCCTATTTCTTTTAGTTCAGAACTTCTGAATAACAAACCTGCTGAAGCATAGTTGTGAGCTATTTTCTATGATGACAAAGAATATGAAATTATAGTAAGTTTCCATGTTGAGATATTAAAATAGTATTTGCATAGAAACAGTACAGAGATTTTAATATTACTTACAGGTTATTCTATATTCTTAACTTTTAAACACCAATGACCAATTCTGGTGAATCTTGGTGAAGAAATTTAATATAAGCCTGTCCCAGATATCTGTTCCATGGCTCCACTACAAATGATCATCCTGACTGCAAATGTGGCAGAATGAAAAAGCACCAGCCACAGTCACGTAATTGCAATTTCCACTCCCTGACTGGAAACTGCAAATGAAATTAGGTTTATACTAACACAGTAATCCATGGGTTGGTGTGACTGAGACACCGCAGGAGCATTTGCCAAGGGTAGTCTGCCAAACACCAGAAACAGCACACAAAGGTGTCATGACACTGTAATACATTAAATGCACTTTTCAACATACCTTAGTGGTCCCACTGATGGCTTTACATAAGAAACACAGCAAACACTTTCTGCAGCTGTAAGAAAAGACTATAAACCCCTGCAGATATCCATAATCAGGTGTGATGGTGCAACTCCCTCCCGACCTCTTGAGCCACTTGGTACTTTGTGCAATTCTCCCCCTGGTTCACATACCAACCCAAGATGAATAGGGAAAGGTAGTGAATCAGAGTGTTCAGGCATTTCTTTAACACACTTGATTCCTATCTCCCCTACCACTTGGAAACAGACTCTATATCAACTCAAAATGCATTGGGAAATGTAACAGACCAGAGCATTAAGGCATCCCCTTAGCCCACTTGGTTTCTGCTCCCCACACCCCTTTATTGCTTAAGAACAAGAGGAACAATCGATGGCTCCTGACAACATAGTACATCCGTACTTGAGTTGTGGTCCAAAGAGAGTGATATCAGAACTCCAAGATTTAGCAAGTTCTGGGCTTGCACAATGGACAGAAAATATCAGAGTATTTTGAGTTGGACTGAAATGGAAAATTAGCTGACAAAAGTCAATTATCACAGATCCTATAAACAGTGACTCTAAGAAAGACCCTTTGAACTTTCCTGGATTGCAGCAGGCATTACCAGCATCTCCCCTGACACGGGACACCTCTCAGGCTCAGACTTCTCAAAGTTCAAAGATAATCCACACACAAAGTCAATGGAAGACCAGGGTGAAGTCAGACTTCCTGCATCTCAATTACTGCCTGTTGAGAAATACTGATCCACTGTATTTGCTCCAAACTTGAGTAGAGAGAAATTTCAACTATAAACTAGCCTCTTTCACAGAATTAGAATCACAGAATCATTTAGGTTGGAAAAGACCCTTGGGATCATTGAGTCCAACCATCAGCCCTACTCTATTGATACAGAGAAATGATTACTTGTTTTGAGATTTATTTACTTATTTACTTATAGAAAACTGTGTAGCAACTTATTTACTTACTTATAGAAAACTGCGTAGCAACTTATTTACTTATAGCAAGTTATAGTATTTTTTTAAATATTGCTAAGAATCCTGCTTGCCCAGACTGTTCTGTGGAATTTTACCAAGGACTACAGTGTTCATCAAAACAAAGCAGTTCACTGTGAAAATCTACCAAGGATCACAATGTTCAGCAAAATATTATACTCTTGTCCTTGAGTAACAGGTGGCTCTAACTAGTTGGAATTTTGCTAATGAGTAAAGATAGCTATATACGAATGGTAGAAGTGCTATTGGTTCTCTTAGATAAGATAGAAAGTAAACCGTCTGAAAAACACTCATTATTCAAGAAACTGGCCCAGAGAATCTGCGCATGCTCCAGGGAAAAAAACAAAGTGAGAAGGACTATGAGCCTTCCTCCCACAGACCTCCGAAGATGACCACCAGGAGGCAGTGTGCAGGTGCAGAGATGACATAAACTGTTGACATCAGCCTTTCTAATGTATATGTATGTTTGTGTTATGTAATCCGATGAATATGGATATCCACACTCTATAAATTTTTGGTAAAATGTGCAGTGGGTGTGCAAGCTTTGTGGAGAGATCCCCTTGCACTCCGGCGCCGGAGTAAACATACCTGCTGTATAACTCTATTCGAGTTGTAGTCTTTTTCCGCGAATCACTACAAAGTTCTCCCCTACACCATATCCTCCAACATCTCATCCAAAGAACCCTTAAACACATCCAGGGATAGTGACTCGTGGAGTTTCTCTGTTTAGACATGCTCTTAAAAAGGGATCTTAATAGTGTTAGTTCTCATGAATGGATACATCTCTGGAATTCTGTAGTAATCAAGTGTTCAAGTGTTCAAAGTAGTCAAAGCTGCAAACCTGTGTTTCACATTCTGTGCAATTTCAGGATGTGCTCTCCATCTTCTTGGCAACATCATGATGCGCAGAAACAAACTCTACAACTCAGAGTTATAAAGCAGGCATGTTTATTCCGGCCAGGGTGCAAGGGGATTTCTCCACAAAGTTTGCACACAGTCTCTGGCAAGTAGCCAAATATTTATTACAACAAAACATACATATCCTTTAGGAAGGGCTGGGTTATTACAATTAGTTCGGGGAATAGGTGTGATTATTATAATTATTCAAGGGGAGAAGTACTTGATCTTCTTCACAGTGTCTGCTCTCTCCAGGGCATGGGTTGTTAAGCAAAATCCAGATGTCTCCTTAAATCGGCAAGATCATCCTCTCTAGATAGCATCTCTGAGTCCTTTTGTTCAAGTTTAAATTTGCCTAAGTGCCCTTTCAGGGCTTTGCTTCTGCTGTCGGTGAGTTGTCCTTTTATTATAATTAATACCCCCGGGCTACCTGCTACTTTCTTATCATAGCCAATCCCCAAGCTATCTGGTAAACTACACTGAATCCACAGAACAAGTCTGGACAAGCAGGATTCTTAGAAAACGTTCAGAAATCATCATACGTTGCTATAAGTAAATAATTTGCAAGGAAAGTGGTCATTTCTCTGTATCAATCAGTGGCTGGAATTCCCCCAGAAAAAAAGGTAAACATGGCAGTAAGGGTACATCCACACATTATTATTCTTTAAACCTGTGGGGAAACCTTATAGCGGCCTTCCAATACTTACAGGGGACCTACAGGAAAGCTGGGGAGAATTTTTCAGGGAGTGTAGCGATAGGATGAGGGGTAAGAGTTTTAAACTGAAAGAGGGATGCTTTAGCTTAGATATAGGATAGAAATTCTTTAATGTGAGGGTGGTGAGACACTGGAACAGGTTGCCCAGGGAGGCTGTGGCTGCCCCCTCCCTGGCAGTGTTCAAGGCCAGGCTGGATGGGGCTCTGAGCAACCTCATCTAGTGGAAGGTGTCCCTGCCCATGGCAGGGGTTTGGAACTAGATGATCTTTAAGATGACTTCCAACCCAAACCATTCTATGAATCTATGAAATACAGGAATGACAGAATCTATACATAAAAAGAAACAAAATTAAATGTGATAATCTCCCCCAAATATGCTGCAAATAAGGCAGGGTATATATATTAAAAAAAAAAAAAAAATTGCACCACATGACATCCCCAGTGTAACACTGCAGGATACTTGTTCTTCTTAGGATATATCGTTAAAAAGATTGTGGGTATTGTTCCTTCAGCCCTGCTTGTGTTAAGTAGACCACTGAGAACAGACAAGCTGAGCTTCCTGGTAGCACTGAAAAGCCTGTGACTGTGAGGACTCATTCCAGAGCAGAAGAGAGGAACTCATCCTCTGTGGGCCAGGCAAACCCTGCAGCCTGTGATTTCAAAACCTGCCATCACAGCAAAGATTATTTCAATTTTGTAGCGTTGCTGCTGGACAATGTCACAAATATGCATACTGACAGATTACTGTAAGTCTTCCTGAGCCCATAAACAGAAGAATACTCCATGTTGCTCCTATGAGGGACAACCATCTGGGTTGTCTAGATGAGGGAATTTCCCCAATAGGTGATGAAGTCAGGAGCTGGGAAGGCTTTAGGCTGCAGTCCCAGGGCAAGTGTCAGGCTGTTCTGAGATAAGTGGTTCTCTGACCTAGACACCTCAGGGTTTGGATTGTGGTAAAGACCAGTAGGAGTGTCTTAGCCACTTCACTTCTCTGGTTTTATTTATTTTTAGTAATAAAACCAGATTGGATTAGTGGCGACTGCAGCTGCTTTTGAAAGCTTTTTTCAGTTAGTAGTATGACAGATAAGCTTTAGTGAATCTTCCTGTAGATATGCAAAACATTACTGATCTCCTCAATCTGATCACCACTTTGAAGTCCCTTGCTAACAAGGCAGGAGATGGCCTTTCTTTGCATTGGATTATGGCTCCCCAGCACGTCGAGATAGGGATCTGAAGGGCAGAGTGACAGCCTGGGGCTGCAAGGAAGGGCAAAAGGATGCACACTGCCTGCCTGCCTGCCCCTCTGACTTTGGAGGAGGTAGGAGAAGCTGTTGTGCCAGACTGCAACCCACAGTGACCTCACTGCTCAGCCAGGGTGCGTGTGCAGACAGCAGACATGTAAGGGCAAGGACATGGCAAAAATCCTTGCACCTCTATGATAAATCTACACCCGTGCCCCTCTGCTAAGTCTCACATCCCTGCAGCAGAAGCATCAGGAGCAAAGTTGTCTGCAACCCCAGCTGTGTGAATGCAAAATTTCACAGAAATTAACTGCTGACTTTGCACTGAAACAGAAAAGGAGCAGGAACATCTTCTGCTTTGCCAGGTCTGCATGGAGATTTAAATGCAGTAGCTTCCAGAAGACAGGCACCTGAAACCATAAATCACTGTCATCAAAACAGCTAGTACCGGTGGTCATGCTGTGCCAATTTAGGATGTGCTGCCCCTCTGTGAAGGTTACCTTTCCTTCTGCCTCCTCTCCCAACGCTCCAGCCCAGCAGAGGGTACCATGTGCTTATTTCTCAGATACTACTACTCAGTTTGGCATTTCGATGCAAATCCACCTGCTTTCCCAGTTGCTAAAATGCTAACCTTTGCACCAGAACTGCTAAATCACAAGTGCACATTGCCCCCACCAGCTCTGCTATGTAGAGTGCAACTCCAGCAAAGGAGAGGAGTTGAGACCTGAGGCAAAGCCTCCTTAAGCCACTGTAAAACGACTTGCCAAGCTTGCCAGTGCACTCTGCAGCAGCATTTCTAACATACTTAACAGCCAGATCGATCTACAGGACCGTAGATCCTGATGAATCTACAGGAGGATTTCAGATGTTATCTCTCCTTTGGAAGCCTTCTTCATATAGAGCTCCACGGAGCCATGTAAAACACAATCAAAGCCTAAATCAGACAGACGGTGGTATTTTGAAGTTACTTCACAGAAGTATAAATGATTACACAAAGTGAAAAGACAGTACAGGCAAGACCCAACACGATCCCTGTCCAAGGATAAACTGAATTGTTACACACAGTTTGCCCTTGGGCAGGTTTTAACTTGGAATATTCCTGTACTTTAGACAGGGTTGAAAAGGTTTCTTTGTTTCCCTGAAGAACAGATGAGGTTTTCTATAAATAACCCTGCACAAAGTTCACACATGCTATTTGAGAGCTTTCCCCTTTTAATGTCACAAAATATAAAATCAGATTAAGATTACCCTTTGCCAAATTGCTCATCCTCTCCCTAAAACTGTCAGTAGCAGGAAAAAAGGTAAATATAAAGGATACAAAGACTGGTAAACAACTATACTCATGCATTATATACAAATAGTCTTTTGCTATTAGTCAGTTATTTGTTCAGTTTATAAAAACAATTTGCAAGAATTTCAAGTCCAACAACAAAACCCCCTCTACTTCTAACCAAATTTATCACCTATTTGCTCAGTCTGCACCTAAAACTTGTGGTAAAATAAGTAAACAAAACTTAAAACAGTGAAGGTAGATGAAATAAAACCTAAGCATCTCAGGAAATTGACCCTGAACATTTCTAAAGCCCTACCTTTTTTTCCCTTCCATTTAGCCTCCAAACAACTGCCTCAAACTTCTAGTTAGACTGCATTCTCACATTCAACAAAAGCTAATACATTAGTTCTTGAAGATACTGAGGGTGCTGTAAACAGCTGCATTTTTAGACATACGTGCATGTGTATGTCTCAGCTAAGGAGCACATAATTTTCCATGGTCTGTGACCTGGAATAAATAATAAAAACAAGCCTCACCAGGTAAATAGCAGAAAAGGTGCAGCTGCTTAGCTGGATCTCTGCTGGAAAGGAACTCTGCAAAGTTGCCTACAGCCTCTACAACCAACAAGTGTTCCTGCAAAGAAAGAAAGGACTCAGAAACATGCTAGGAAGCCTTTTATCTTTTTTTTTTTTTTTTTCTTTCTTCCAAAATTATTCCTAAACACTGGCTTAAGCCATACTTCCAACTGCCGTTATCACTAGAAGGATAAATGTGCCAGGTGCCACATTTGTAAAGGGAGTCACTAGCATGGTGGTTCATGTTTGTTCTTGCATTTTACCCTGTACACATTGCTCCGTGCTGATTCTAAACAGGATCTTTATGCTATGCTTGCATCTGGACAAGATTGATTAGGGGGAATACTTCAGTTACAGCTTGCATGAAATTTGTGATGAAGACAACTATTAGAAATACTCACTTGGAACTTGAACCTGTAGCACACACACCCTCTAGAGCAGCTGGATTTACACACTGATTTCTTAGGTGGTCCAGAATAACTGGCTTTATCCTAAAGCAGCTATCCCAAAACTGATTTTTTGGCATATCCTACCCTTAAGCAGATTTAGCTGGGATGAATCTAGATGTATTTCTAGGTATTTAAAAAAAACAAAACAAAACAAAACAAAACTAGCGCAATTGTTACAACCTCTTTCTACACTCTATAGAGAGAGAAACAAGTAATACAGTGTCAAACGGGCTGACCCCGGAGCTGCTTCACCTGTGCCCACCGCCTACAGCGGTAACTATACGTACATCACTGACGAAACACGGTTGCTCTACTTTCAGTCAGTTCAGACTTTCCCCCTTTCCTTCGTTTTTTTTCTCCACCCGGACGAACCTCGGGTGTCCGCGCCCCAAACCTCTCCCGCTACCAGACCTCGCACCCCGACCTCCCGGCCTGCCTCCGCCGGCGGGACACGTCCCGGGGCCGGGCAGCGGAAAGCCCCGGCTAGGGGAGGCCGGGCCGGCGGCGGGGCTCCG